TCCAATTATCCCGAAATAGTTCCAATTGTGTTAGGGGTAATCTTGTTACACTGTTCAGGGGAGTCTCAACAACCATCCCAAAGTACCGGTTTCTGAGAGTTTTCGCCTTTTGTTTTCACCGTGATAGTTGCCAAGTGGTGAAAAATCCCAGATGTTCGACCAAGAATAATGAGCAGCGCATGGTGTTATAGTACAAAATGAAAAAAAAAACGTTCTTTTTGCACGAGAAGTGTACTGTGGCGTTAGGAAATGTGATGTTACAGTGTGGCTGTACATTTTATTTCTTATAGGCAGCTGCTATCGAAGAGTTCAAAACCAAAACATGTCCAGCAATTTATGGAGGGTTAGAGAAAATTCTCGTAGCGAACAATGGAGGAGATGGATACTACGTGGGAAATGAGGTATATTTATCGATCACGTCGCCAGAAACTGCAATGTTGTATTTGGTTAAAAATATATAGTATTAAACGACACATTCTATCACATGTCGATACGGACATGACTGGACTGATTACATTCAAACTGCACACATACATAATATTATATATATGCACATCTATTTGTTTCAAAATCTTATTTTGTTTTAATGAATGTGGTTTTAGTAGCGCCTTATCTCTGACATGGTTTAGCTGATTATGATCAAATTTTATACATGTTTATGTTCCAACTTTATTACTATAAACAAAACTATGTATCACCAATTTGATAACTAAGAGGGACTGCTTATTTTTAGCTTGTTTAAAAATGGGTTGTGGGAATGTCAACACATCAATATGATACATTGTTAAAAAGTACTTGCTGCATAAAATTGGGAATAACGTTAAGGAATTTAAAAAAATGCTCATAATAAAATACGACAGGTAAATATGTATCATGTCGTATGGCTTTAGTAACTGAAATTATGATATTATTCAATGGAATTCGGAGCGTAATTAAAGTGGAAACAATATCATGTTACTCGAATTAACATTTTAAACACCAAATATGAACTCAGGAGCACATATCCTATAACTGTAATAACATTGGATGTTCCCTTATTTGCAGGTGACATTAGCAGACACTACGCTTATTATGGCGGAAGACATTACAAAGAGGATGAATCCCCAAGTATTAGACAACTATCCAAAACAGAAGGCTCTAACGGAACGGGTCCTAGCATTGCCAAAAATTGCAGATTGGATAAGGAAGAGACCACAGACTGATCACTAATTATTGTAAAGACAGTCTTTCAGGGATTCAAGTATATCATTCATGTATTGTGGCGTTGTCTTGGAAATAAAGATCAAAGATACCCAGTCATTTACATTCGCAATTATTAAATCGCGACGTTCTTAGTTATAATATTGAATTACACAGTAATACCATATTTGGAGGTTATTCGCGGCAACCTAGAAATACCGTGCAATATATTTTAGTTTGTTCCGAATAGTCTTTCCAGCATTAATTTTTCTGAAAATATTACACACATTTTCACGCGAGAACAATGTAACGTGCCACAGCTCAAGTAACGATACATTCGCAGGCCAGAGATGTTGTGTGATCCTGGGAAAAGCAGCATTTATATTTTTCCAAGTGCGTATTTCGAGAAACAAATGCCAATATTGCTTGAGCAATGCGACACGTTATCTCCAGTATTACCTGTGAATGACCTCTTTGTCATATTAGCAACAACATTTCTGTATCAGCACAAACATTGCGTAACTGGCCACTAAAGAGAGTAAGAGTTTGAAAAATCATAGCATCCGAAACCCCTGAGAGCACAATGCGCGTGTATAATGAATTATTTCTAAAACTAGCGAATGTTAAGCAACTTTTGAGTTCTTGCAAAAACTCAATAAATTTGCAAATAATTTTGAATTATCCATTGCAGCCAGCACTTTTGCCAGCATGGAGATGGATCAGCCAACTCTTCTTTAAAAGTAAATCAAGTGAGCTATCTGGGCAATATTAATATGTCTCACGCAAAATCGAATCAACTATTTATTGAAAGGAATATATGTAAATACATCTGTCTAATATTACCTTGTCCAAATTTACCATTACCACAACTACAGTATTAAGTTCTTGGTAGCAAATTATAACATTTTGCATTCCAGTTTTGTTTGCAAGCATATTTGAAAGGTTTCAATAGTATTCAAAATACGATTCGTCACTCATTACCCACAAAGGCATATGAGTTCAAGTATTAGAATTACTCACAAACAGAATGTTGGGATTTACTGATCTGCATGCCAATACTCGTGCTCGTTGCACCGTACAACACATACTTGTTTTAAAAACAAAAAGTCTCATAAAACGATGGTCGAAGCCTGTATCACTTATCTCACAATATCGCAGCAGGAACACACAGGGTACTCAGTAGAAATGGTGGTCTCAAACTGTTATCAGGGGGAAAATCTTCTCCTCTATGGTTCTCCACACATGTCAGGGGGGAATCTCGTCTCGTCTCTATATCTCGTCCCCTTGAGGTGTGGGATCGGGAAAGTCACTTAAACTTTACAGATAAATAGACGCACACAACAAGATACGTTTCAACTTTCGTCTTAATCGGTCAGTCGAGCACTGTACAAGACACAGCGCCCTGGGGAAAAGTCCCCAAAGACTATCGCAAGGCTGACCCAAGACTCTCTCTAGGCTGCATCAAGACTCGCCCCAAGATTCTCCAGGACTGGACTGCCTCTGTCCCTGTGTACTCGCCAAGACCAACTAAAAACAACTTTATTCATTTTCAAAACATTAACCAATTACAAAGCAGTAAAAAGACTCTAGGGCGTAACCTTCAATCATAAAGCCAATCACACCAAGTACTGAACACGTCATATTTTTTGATTAATCGTTCACTACATTAATAATTGCAAATACTGTCAGAAATAGTAGTCCGAATAGCGACGGTTATCTCATAATTAGTTCCAAATCACTGAACCGAGTTCCGTCCAGAACATCGCATGGCCTAAACGATGCCAGACATAACACAGTCATTCCATTTGTAATCAGCTAATTAAGTCGATTAACAGATACGCAAAAACAAATTCATCACACTGTCCTCAGTCTGTCCAATAAATGGTCCAGATTCAGGGACACCACCTCGGTTACCATATGAGCCAAACAGAATGTGGTCTTGCCAGCAGCTATCTCACGTAGGCAACTCAGGGTTTAAGGTAATATGGCAAAACATAAAATAAAGGATGCTGTCAACCACCTTTATGATAGTTATCACACGCCAATGCACACAGTTTATTCCTCTGATTCCGTGCACACTTCTATTTGCAGGGTTTGAGGTAATATGACAAAAACATAAAATAAAGGATGCTGACAACCTGTCAACCACCTTTATAACAGTTATCACACGGCAATGCACACAGTATCTTCCTCTGATTCCAGGCACACTTCTATTTGCATGGTTTGAGGTAATATGAGAAAATAAATAAAAAAAGGATGCTTACATAGAGCCCGCATGACGACTAGAAGCACGGAAAAAATAAGAACATAAAGCGATTAACATAAGTATCAGTTTCTGGGCATAGATGAATCATTGTAACGTAAAATTATTACTGTTTTCGTGCCGTAACCATCAAATGATACATCCACACAGTTTTCCGTACACGTCCTTTTGCACACATGCCGCTAAATACCAGACAAACTAATCATGAAACTGAAGAATCTTTAAAAATTGGACTGTCATTTTGTAAAAGTCATTTCCCATGTACATGATTTATTCCATTCTAGTTGCATGTTTTGTTTTCCTATATTCTTCTTTCTGTATTCTTCTGTCCGGAACGTCGATGAATTTCGGGTATTATTGTCTTTTGTTTATTATCCTATACTAACATGAGAAAACACGTTTAGCGTATTATTACATACAAAATGTACAGGCTGTTACGTGAGATACCATCGCGCATGCGCCCATTCATTACCTATAGTATCATCATATAATACACACATACATCTTTTGGTTCCTCATTCGATTCAGGTTTAGGGTGTTACTGGCAAAATGCAAACCAGGTAATGTAGTATTTTAATGGTGACAACTCTTTGCTGGCGTTCCGTTCTGTTGCATAATTGGTGATAATTATTGAAAAGATGAAGATGTCGAGTTGGAACAATTGTTAAACACAAGTTATTGTATTGTATGTAGGACAACTAAACGATGTATTGCGGTCACTACTATATCAATTATTTTGCTGTATATGGGAGTGTATATGATATTGAATCACAAATCTGGTTACACAGGCCGACATGTATTGGAGATTACAAAGAACTCATGGAGGTATGTAACAGCACAGTCACTCTCCTAGTAGAGTGACTGTGGTAACAGCGACAGTCGTTTTTCGTAACTGATGGCAGAAAATAATCTCGCTGCAAGCAATCAATTATGTATGATATTTAAGAAACGTAATACTACTATACAAAGAAACAAATGCTATGGTGGGCATTTTATTAAGCAGCGACATTTCTACTAATAGCATTATGTGTCGTATTTCGATTGCATTATAGCGGTTCCAGGAATTATATTCGGACAGTCATTTATCAAAATCGGCTGTAGCTTCGCAAAATACTTGTGTGCTCTGTTGCCACATGTTTGACTAAGTTAGTTGTGCAGCAAACAATTTGCCGAATAATGTGTAGCCCTGGTTTATTTCAGTGAGCGGTATCATTTTAAAGCGGAGGGGTCGTCTCCCGCGCAATGGCACACTATGGCACCTGACGCATGCGCAGATGGGATTCTCCCGCTTTAATACAGGGCGAACCAACTCTACTCGGTGTTCCACCATATATTTTATCGAGTATCTGAAAGCGCAGAAATCGACGCTTAGAGCGACGGTACGGTAGTATTCAGTTCTACATTTGTGATCGGTATAATCTGCCGTCATTTTTACTTATCGTGAGGGCATCGAAGCAGATTAAAAATAGCGGTATAAACGGACATTATACTGAACATGAAGCAGTTTCCTAACTGGACTTGCAGGCTGTCAAATGTGGTATGAGGTATCTGACAAATGCTCTACATGCAACAAATTATATAAACATAGTAAAACGGGTACGAGAGGGTGTTCAAAGTGTAGTAATACGTTTCCGATGTCAAATATATACTGAACTTGCACTATGAAGCGAGAGAGGTCAACCACTCTAGTGTTTTAGATGGCGCATCAAACGATTCGAATTCTTTAAAGAAGGATAAGGCATACACACGAACGAAGTCGGCCATGTACTCGCCGACACTGCTGATAGATAAGTGCGGATTACACAAAGAAACCCTATTCGATATGTGTGCAGCAACGCAGACCAATTCACTGTCCCAAATCAATACCCCTGAATTCAACACGACAGACGTGTTTGCATATCGATTCAACAAGTCTGCCATTATCGAAGCCGTTACTGAATACACCGGTATATCGTTTTAAACCATGACCAAGACGTCACACTATTGTATTATTCAGTTATGAAACCACCTGCAAAGATTTTCAGAACGGAGAGTATTTTCTATTGAACATTTTGATCATGGCCGTTCATCCATGACGCCTGTTTTTGATCTGAAAGTTAAATTGCAACCTTCTTTTTCTAGTGGCAATACTCGGGACACAATACCGGTCCCCTTAGATCGTTCAAGCTATGAACTGGTATCTCATATGTCTGAAATAAGTGGGTGAGTATTATTGAATGAAAAAAGCTCTTGGTAATACATGTATGTTTCAAGTTTTCTGCTTGTCACTCAGTCGTTCGTACACCACCACACACATACAGATACCCTTTTGTCTTTATAATGCTGACAAGACGATGAAGAAATGTGTAGAGCCAGTAAATATTGAGGTTGATTTCTGGCTTACCGGAATTTTATATACATATTTATGTGAATTTCTATGAATAATGAAGTTCTACTGTTTCATCTATATTATGTAACTAACCAGAATTTTCAGCGGGGGTTTTCAGATTGCGATCAAAATTTATGCCAGTTATGTGGCTGTCGACGCCCATCAACGTGTATAAGCTGGATGAGCTGTTAGTATTTCAAAATAGTCCCCAAACCTGTTATTCGATATTGATTCAAATGACCCATTATAAGCAGTTATGTTTATTCTTGGCAATCGTGGGAGTAAGCAGCGAGACAGTTGAAAACGAGTCAATTGTCTGACATCATTGTCGCCAGTGTTTGCGTATCGTACGCAATTGTAGGATTTTCGATCACAGCTGCCAATATAAACAAAAAATAAACATGTACAGAAAATAAATATGAATATTAGCTGATTGCATGTAAAGTTCTAGCCTATTTACAACATTCGGTCGATTTTCACGGTAAAAAA